CAGAACTCGGGTATGGTGAATTATCTTCAGATAAGAACAAGATTCTAACTTCACCATTAATTTTTGCAAGTGAATCTGAGAGCAGTAGTGATGATGAAGAGCCAACCCTAGAAGAGGTTAAAAATGCATACGAAAAAATGTATCGGAAGTGGCTCGAAGTATCTGAGGTACATAAGTGCCTTGAAAAGGATAAGCATGTTCTCATATAGGAAAACAAGGTGTTGAAGGTAAGAATTTCTACTCTTGAGGAAAGGGCTATTAGAGTAGATAAAGAAACACGTAGTTTGCATGCTAAGTTTACTCATAATCATCATGTTATTTCTAAGTTTAATACTGTTAGGGTTACTTTGAATAAAATTTTGAACAAAAATGAGCTGAACTATGGTTGCCTAGGTATAGGGGATAATCAACTATCTATTGATGCATTGAAACATAAAGAAAATCCGACAAAAAAAGTCAATTTTGCCAAACAATCTACTGTTTCACAGACTAATGCGACAGTTGCATCAACACAGTCATCTCAAAGAAAAGTTTTTGTCCCTATCTACCATTTTTTTCATGTTCGTGGTCATATACGACACAGGTGTATTAAGTACTTGAAGATGGTAAAAAGAATAATGGCCCGCTCACCACTTCCCGCTAAAATTGATCACACTTTTGTGTCGACTCAAAAAGCCAAGATAAAGGTTGATTTAATGAATAAAACTCAACAAAAAATATGGGTAAAAAAAATCTGATTTTAACTGTTTCTCTGCCATTACTTCCTTAAAATCATGTGATGATAGTACTAACTGTTCCAACAATTCTGTTGACATATCTAGTTGAGGGCATAAAAAGCTTGTTAATCTGAATTCTGATAATTTGAGTGCGAAAAATAAATTTATGAATCCAGTTCACCATTCGAGAACTAAACTTACTGATAATTGCCATTGTTTCATAAGGGGCTCGGTTGAAAATGGGGATGTCTCAATCGATTATGCAGAGAATGAATTAACCTATGTTTTTTAAAACAACACTTGATGCACAGAGATTGGATTTCTTGCGCAAATCGCTGGGAATTTACGTCGTCTAATCTAGTGCAGTTGCTTAAACTGTTGCAACAATTTGTGTGTCCAAACTTGCAACTAATAGTGTTAGCAGACTTCATATGTTTTTGCATCTCATATAGGACTTGCATTAAGCATATTGCATGTGATTGAGACAAATGTAAATTTGATACTTCGTGTAACATCTAATCTTTGTGGTGTAGAACTTCACTAATTTCCAAAATGATTACTAAAAAGGCTCCAACTTATTTATTTATCTAAATCTTGTCATCGTTGGATGTTTTTACTGGGAAAATCTACTTCTTTCAGTGAGTGAAAGCTACTCTTGGATTGCTATTATATATATATATATATATATATATATATATATATATATATATATATATATATATATATATATCAATTTGGTCATTGATTAGTTCGAAGCCTAGTTGAGTCGAGTTAGTAAACCACTTGGCCGAAAGTTCGTTACAATGCTCAATTAGAAAGCTATCTATATGCACATCAATTTGTTTAGTGATTAGTACGAAGCCTAGTTGAGTCGAGTCAGTAAGCCACTTGGCTGAAAGCTCGTTACAAGGCTCTTTTATACTTGCTCTATTATTCATGGGAATCAAGTACCATTGGACGTGTGTGTATGCTACCATATAAGAGCATCTTTGTGTTTGACTTGGGATTACTATGTTTGTTGGTTGTCTTGGCAGTCAGACTTTTGGGGATTGCGCTTATAGTTAAAAGTGAAGATAAACCCCATATGTTTGTTACTCCAATAGTATCCTATTTACTTTTGTCTCTTCACTCACGTTTATTTCATCATGCATAATTTTTTTCTACTATGCATTTAGGCATTTAAAAAAAATGAGAGAGAGAGAGAGAGAGAGAGAGAGAGAGAGAGAGAGAGAGAGAGAGAGAGAGAGAGAGAGAGAGAGAGAGAGAGAGAGAGAGAGAGAGAGAGGGGGGGGGGTTGTTTTTGGGCCGGTTCAATTTGATTTTTGTTGCAACCGGATCTATTGGGCCTACTCCTCACATTTCCACGTGTCTTATGAAGTTTGGCAAAGTTAGATATCTTGGTTATTTAATGTTGGATGTGATATCACTTTCATTTGATTTTCGCATTACAATTGTCGTGTGGTATTGAGTTTGTGAGTTTGTGATTTTGTGTGCATGTAATGTATGGTGATTATTCTCACTTGTTTTCAAGATTCTCTCTTCGTTTGATCTTTTTATTAAGTGTTGAACATATTTCTCAACATATCGAGATCATTAGTCCATGTTGATTTATATATGCATGGTGATTGCCCAGAAAGGGGGAGAAAAGAACAGTAAGTTTGCATGAACACATGGGGAGTTCAGACAACTGTTGCTACAGTGCATCAGACAATTGCTGGAACAATGCACGAATACAGGGGGAGTTCAGACAACGGTTGAGACAGTTTATCAGACAATTTTTAGGACGAATTCATTAAACTGTTGGCACAATTGATGAGCATTGTGAAGGGAAGTTGATTGTGCTAATGAATATCTCTTTGTTCCATGTTTATTTGAACAATTTTTAACTATCTGCTTTTCTAGGTTATTTTTACTAAGAGCCTATACAGTTAGATGAACTGTTAGAACAGTTTATATTTGCACATGTTATTTGAATTTGTTAACCCTTGTTCATGCGGATATCATATATTTTGGGGGAGTAATGTTCTGACCAATCAATGACAGGGGGAGATAGTTAGAATATAGTTAGATTCTACTTACCAGAAACCATGGAGAATTCTAGAGAGATAAGGTGAGAGAAAAGACACAATTTAAATCTTCGTTCTTCTGTGATTTCTGTTATTTTGTGAGCGCGTGAGATCTATTCCTGAGAGAGGAAAACACGAGAGAGGTTAAATATGTGTGCGGTGGGGTTTGGGTGAGAGACTTAACTTGAAATTTGAATGATTCCGGTTAACTTAGGTTTCCGGTGACTGTGTGTTGTGCAGGACAGTTGGTGCCACATATGGTGGATTTTGGACGAGAAAAAAAATATTATTAATATTATTATTAGTATTAGTGTTAGTATTTTGATGTGAATTGAGGGTCTCGATCGGATATAATGGTGATGAGGATGCCGTGAAGTCGGACTATTTCTCGAACGTAGAGTTCGGCCAACTTTTCTAGGCTAAGGGTCATCCGTATTGGAAGAAAATGAGTTGATTTAGTCAGTCGGTCGACGATTACCCAAATGGCGTCAGATCCCCTTTGGGTCTTCGGAAACCCTTGCACGAAGTCCATCGTAACAACTTCCCATTGCCACTCCGGAATTAAGTTCGATTGAAGTAAGTCTACGGGTCTTTGATGTTCCGCCTTGACTTGTTGATATACAACACATTCGGTGACGAATCGGGCCACGTCTATCAAGTGATTAATTTGACTAACAATGTTCTCTAAAATGAAGTTTTTTCAGTGAATATGAAGGTGATTATAGAAAACTAATATTAAATAATAAATTTATTTTTCATTACATATATGCTTTATCATTCTTCATGCGTAGGTTGATCTCCACTGTAATGAACTTACTATGAACTCCAGTAATGATTTTTTATCAAGGTTATTTATTTTAAAATGATTTTATTTCATCAAATATTTCTTTTGACATTGTTTTGGTATTGTGTTAGTTATTTTGTATGACAAATTTCCAAAATATGCAGGTTACTCGCAATGTATTGGATTCGGTCATGTGGTTAAGGCAAGTTAACAAATTCAATTTTATTATTTAGGGTAAATTACACCCACCACACCCCTAAGGTATCCTTAAATAATTTTAAGGTCCCTATAGTATCGATAATTACAGTCACCCCTGAAACGTAGTTAGAAACTCTAACGGGATAATGCATTGGATACATTATTCCGGTAGGGTTCTAATGGACTTTTAGCTAGTGGTGGAGATAACATAGAGTTATGGTGAGTAATGGGGTGACATGGTTCCCCCAACATTTCTTAAATCACCCATAACTCTTTATTGTCTCCACCATTTCCTGAAACCAATAGTCCGTTAGAACTCTATCGTAATAACGTATCCAATGCATTTTCCCATAAGAGTTTACAACTACGTTTCAAGGGGTGAGTGTAATTATCGATACCACAGGGACCTTAAAGTTATTTAAGCATACCTCAAGGATATGGGTGTAATTTATCCTATCATTTAATATGCATTAAATGAACAATTTGAATTAATAAGGCATTATGGTCCTACACGTTGGGACCAAAGAAGTTTTGTACACGAAATCTCATTCATCGATATTTTTTTTTTCCAATTATTTTAGCTTAATTAATTACTTATCCAAACGAGATCAATTTTTGTATACTTTCCTACTGTTTTGTACTCTCTCTGTACCATATTATATGTCTTTTTAGAGAGTTTTTTTTGTCCCAAATTATTTGTCATTTTACATTTTCAATGAAGCATTAATTGCATTATTTTCGATTTTACCCTTTATCACTCCTAATTAATTAGTTGAGAATCAATTAATGTCGAGGATATTTTAGTCATTTTATCTGTTTTTTACTATAATCTATGCACATTTATTGATTTTCTTAATATGTGCAAAACTACCCAAAACGACATTTAAATTGGGACGGAGGGAGTATTGTATATCAACTTTTGATCCCTCACTGTATTGATGATATTTTTTCTAATCAAATATTTGCTTTTATAATTAATATCCCCATGTTTCACACATGGGAAGTGCTAGTTTAGGAAAACACGAACAAAATCATCGCATTTTCATCAGAACACATGTATGATGTAACACATTTACTTCCATACTGAATCCAAATAAATTAACCAACCATGTCACGAAAGAAAAGAAAAAAAAAAAAAAAAAAAAAAAAAAAAAAAAAAAAAAAAGAAAAACAGGAAAGAAAACAGTACAGATTGTAAACCAGTAAATAATTAACCTCCATAACAAGAATGAACCACTATTTTGGCAGAGGGTGTTCCTTTAATATGAGATTAAAAAGAGCTAATCCCAAACCGTGCTTCGACAAAAGAGACGCTTTCAATATGCTCAAAGCCTACGCCAAAAAAACGAGCTCGTTATAACATGTAAAAAAAGAAACTTAATAAAAAAAATTGGATAATATAATCAAAGTATACCTCTTCGAAACCAATCTGTAACTTGACTGCTTTGACATCAGATGAAGGGATTTTGATATGCTTCATAATGGATCGGACAATGGTCTTGCAAAAAGGCGTCACGTTTGAATCATGTGTTACAATATATTTTCCCGGTCCCTTAATATAACTTTCCTCGCCTTTCGGGTCCTTAAAGCACATCCGATAACATTTTTCTGCGACTGTACCACTTTCAAAGTAATAAATCGTAGGAGTCGTTTGTTCGGTCAGAGGAAAGATCTGATTCTTGGAAAGATACTTTGGAGGAAGCTCTGGTTTGATCAACCTGGTTCTGGTACACGGACTACTCATATACTTGTCGTTTATCAGTTCGGTTATACTCGTGTACAAATTGTCGATGTTCCTAAGCGAAGTGTTGCTTTCCAAGAGATACTCAACTCCTCCTAGGGGGATGGTAAGCAGACTAAATAGGAAATCGACAAAATCTTCCTCGGCTTGAAAAAATATTAACTTATTAGTAGATTTTTGTACCATAGCTTTTACGGTCATCATCTTGTTCGAGTTGGATGGTGATTCTAATTTCTTATGACGAAGCGAATCCAGTGTTGAACGTCCCATCGTGTTTGTTTGATGAAGGACGACATCCGTTAGTGGGGTCTCGGAGAATAGAGATGCCTTGAGCAATTCAATAATCTGATCCAAGATAAAATATAGTAAATTAAATTAACATAAATAAGACACAAAAATAAAACTAAAAATTAAAACATCATAAAACTAACCTCATTAAATCCAAGGGTCACCCTCATGAACTCAGCACCTTGTGGTACTTCAACACCAAGACTGATGAGAGTTTGTATTACAGATCCTTGAATACTTGGCGCCATCTTTAGATCATCGGTTAGTAGGAACGAGAATTTTTTTTCCGTAAAAACCCCACCATCATCAATATCAACATCAACATCATCATCTTTACCATAATCTTCATCATCTTCATACATATACTCATCTTCATCTTCATCTTCATCTTCATCTTCATCCACAAGTTCATCCCAATCATCATCTTTTTCTTCATATTCATCTTCATCCATATATTCATCCCAATCTTCATCTTCAGATTCATCCTCATCCCCATCTTCATCTCCATGTTTGTCTTCATCTTCATCTCCGTCTTCGTGGGTTGTTATACCCATTGGTTTGCTCAACAATTTGCCACAATCACATTCAGTGTTACCATAATACATGGTTACATTAGATCTCTTCTTCTTACAATCTGTATCAGCGCATCCAAAGAATCGTGTTGGCTGAGTATCTCCGATATCGAGTTTGAGTTTAAGACATTCAGCTTCAAATGAACTTCTCGGATTCAGCAGCATGTCTTTACAACCCTCTGTCCAGAAATGATTACTCTCGATATTTGCTAAGCCGTCGTACAAAGTGGTTAAGCTTCCAAATTTCACAGGTGCTTCTTCTCCATAATGTTTCTTCAGAATCCCGACAATCTTTCCCAATGGCAATGTCAGAAAGCTCAGTAAAACATCCGCGAAATTGCTGTCGATTTCTGCAAATAGTACTTTAGTTTTTTGTTTGTTTACCATAACTTTCAAACACAACTTAACTTCATTAGCATCCGACATTCTTTTGGTTTGGTTTTCCTATAATAAAAAAAAAAATATTCAATCTTTTTTTTTGTACGGCAAAAAAACAAATGATGGATTTGTTGCCGAACCAAATTCCAGCACTCCGAGCTTTTATAATACAAGAGATGAACCTTTCATCTCCTCAAAATAGATATGAAAAATAATATGTTTTTTTCCCTCCATTTTCAATTGTATGGTTACATCATCAAATTTCAAGAAAGAAATTCAAATGGATCATAATTTATTGATAGTCCCAAGAAGAATCTGGAAAGACCTCAGTGAATATGAGGATATTAGTTAGACCATCTCTAACTGATACATTTATTTGAGTTGCATCCTCGAAAAAGAGATGACTTAGATATTAGATTTTTGGATTTCAAAAAAAAAAAAAAACAAAAAAAAAAAGATATTAGAATTTTAATTATAAAAGAAATTTTTCATATTAATTATAAGAAATCTCTAATTAAAATTTGGGGTCTTTTACAAATAAGTCCATCAATGAGTACTTATTCATAAAGAAATCCAGACAATAAACTCATTTATAAAAAAATACACACATGGTCTAGATTTGTGTATAAGACTAAAATAGTTCCTCATACTTTAATATGCTCCAATTTCATCCTCTAATTTAATTTAACCTTAATTTGATCCCATATTTCACAAATTATTCAATTTTAACCCAAAACACATTTTTATGGATAATTTCGTCATTCACCGCCAGTTTCCGGCGTTGATTTTTTTTTTCTTTCCTGATTTTTTCGCCGGTTGCCGCCGTTTATCGGCGGTCAACGCCGGTCTCCGACGTTGACTTTTGTTTTTTTCCTGATTTTTCCGCCACCGATTTCTAGTGTTGATCGGCAGTCAACGCCGGTCCTCAGCGTTGACTTTTTCATTTTTTTCTTTCTTTCTGTAACATCTTTTTTTTTCCGTTTAAACAGTAATAATAACTATATTACTGTTAAACACAGTAAAATTAACTATACTAAAGTTTAACACAGTAATATTGCTATATTAATCTCTAGCACAATAATATTAACACAACAAAACTCATTATTATTGTGTAATAGAGTAATATTACTTTGTTGACCGTTCAACAAATGTAAACATAATAAAAAGTCAAAAGAATTAATATTACTGTGAGTGACAGTAATATTACTATAACAATAATATTACCGTCAACCACAGTAATATTCCAATAATAGACATTAGCATTATCACGTTACTCCGTGAATAATTCAAACAAACAAAAAAACTCAAACAAAATAATAATATTGATGTGGTTGACACCAATATTACTATAACAACAGTAATATTACCGTCAACCATAGTAATATTATTATGTTTACAGTAATATTACAATAATAGACAGTAATATTATTAATGAAATGCTATTTGCGGTCACAAAATTGCTATTCGCGGTTTATAACAAAACACCCCAAAACATTTAAAAATATCAAAAAACCCCCCAAAACTGCAAATAGCAAAAAAAAATAGAAAAAAAAAGTCGAAAATTCGAAATCAAGCTTGAAGAAGGGTTGGACTTCGATTTTTTGATGTAATTTCGACTCTTTTATGTGTAATATGCATTGGGTAGGTCGATTACGGAACCAATTTCATGTTAAAAAACCCTACAAATCGATTTGTAGGTCTTTTTTTTCGCAAAAAAATGTTCGAACGCCCAAGATGGGCGTCCAAGGCGTGTACGAACGCGACGCTCATCTTGGGGCGTTCGAACATTAAAAAAAAAAAAAAAAAAAAAAAAAAATTTGCACTGGATGCCCAAGTTGGGCTTTTACGCGTTTTGGGGGGGGGGTTTTGGATTATTTTGGGAAGTTTTGGGGTTTTAGTGAAATAAAGTGTTTTTTTGGGGATTTTTGTTATAAACTACAAATAGCAATTTTCAAACCGCAAAAAGCAATTCCCTATTATTACGTTACTCCCGTGAATAACTCAAACAAAACAAAAAAAAATATTGATGTGGTTGACAGTAATAGAATTACGTGACTGTAT